AATGGGGTCACATTGGGGTCAATGGGGTCACAATGGGGTCAATGGGGTCACAATGGGGTCACAATGGGGTCGCATTGGGGTCAATGGGGGAAATGGGGTCACAATGAGGTCACATTAAGGTCAATGGGGGAAATAGGGTCACAATGGGGTCACATTGGGGTCAATGGGGACACAATGGGGTCAATATGGGGTCCATGGGGACAATGGGGTCACAATAGGAACAAGGGGGTCAATGGGGCAACAATAGGGTCACAGGGGGGTCAATGGGGTCACAATGGGGTCACAATGGGGTCAATAGGGACACTGGGGTCACAATGGGGTCACAGTGGGGTCATTGGGGTCACAGTGGGGTCACAATGGGGTCACAGTGGGGCAGAATGGGGGTCAGTGGGGTCACAGCTGAGGTAGCTCAGGACGGTGCCATGTGACCCCAGCCCAAGCCGGGACAGGAAGTGGCATCAGTAGTGACAGGAAGTGGCGTCAGTACTGACAGGAAGTGACGTCCAAAGCAGCAGGAAGCGATGTCAGTAGTGAAAGAAAGTGATGTCAGTAGTGAGAGGAAGTGTCATCAGTACTGACAAGAAGTGATGTCGAAAGCAGCAAGAAATGATATCAGTAGTGAAAGGAAGCGATGTCAGTAGTGACAGGAAGTGGCATCAGTACTGACAGGAAGTGACGTCGATAGCAGCAGGAAATGATGTCTGCAGTGCCAGGAAGTGATGTCAGTGGCAACAGGAAATGATATCAGTAGCTACAAAAAGTGATGTCAGTAGTGCCGGGAAGTGGCATTGGTGGCGACAGGAAGTGGTGTCAATAAAAGCAGGAAGTGACCTCAATAGTGCCAGGAAAAGATGGCGGTAGAAACAGGAAGTGACATCAGTAGTGCCAGGAAGTGGCATCATTGGCAACAGAAAGCGACACCCGTAATGACAGGAAGTGGCGTCACTGGCAACAGGAAGTGACGTCAGTAGCGACAGGAAGTGATGTGACAGGAAATGATATAAAGAGAGACAGGAAGCGGTACGATTACAGACAAGAAGTGAGATCAATAGCAGCAGGAAGTGACGTCAGCAGGGACAGGAAGTGGTGTCAATAGTGACAATAATAACAGGAAGTGACGTCAGTAGAGGCAAGTGATGTCAGCATTGACCGGAAGGCACTTCAAGAGCCTCAGGAAGTGACGTCATTAGTGACAGGAAGTGACGTCAGCAGCATCAGGAAGTGCCGTCAGTATAGACAGGAAGTGCCCAACCTAACCACATGCACCCTCCAAATAGAAAGAGGGTGGGGCTAAGGCACGGCAAAGGCCAATCAGCAGCAAGAGGGGTGGAACCAAAGGCACAGCGCCGGCCAATCAGCAGCGAGGAGGGGGGCGGGGCTCAGCCGGCAGCCACTGAAGCAGCGATGATGGCGACGAGGATAACGAGGGTGAGGACGAGGCAGGCAGCCATAATGAGGCGTTTCTGAGGGATTGAGGAGGGATTATGGGGGATTAATGGGGGATTATGGGGCATTAATAGGGATTATGGGGGATGAAAGGGCAATTAAAGAGAAACTGTGGGGGATTAATGAGAAATTATGGGGGATTAAACAAGGATTATGGGGGATTATGGGGGATTATAGGTGAGAAATTACGGATTAATGAAAGGTTGTAAGGGATTAATGGGGACTCTGGGGGATTAAGGATGGATTATGGGGAATTAATGGGAAATTATGGGGCATTAATAGGAATTCTGGGAAATTATGAGGGGATTATGAGGGATTATGTAGAATTAATAGAAATTATGGGGAATTAATGAGGGATTAGAAGGGGATTATGGGGGGATTATGGGGCATTAATGAAGGATTATGAGGGATTATGGGGTATTATTGGGCATTAATAGGGATTATGGGGGATTATGAGGGGATTAAAAGGAATTATGGGGATTAATGAGGGATTATTGGAGACTAATAGGGATTATGCGATTAATAGGGATTATGAAGGATTAAGAATGGATTACGGGGGACTAATGGGGATTATTAGGGATTAATGGGAATTATTGGGGATTAAGGATTAATAGGGATTATGGGGAATTAATGGGGATTAATGCGGATTAAGGAAGGGTTATGAGGGATTGAATAGGGATTATGAAGGATTATGGGAGATTAATGGAGATTATGAGGGTTTAATGGGGATTATAAGGAATAAGGGATTATGGAAGATTTATGAGGGATTATGGGGAATTAATGAGGGATTAAAAGGGGATTATGGGGGGATTATGGGGATTATGGGGGACAAATGGGAATTATGGGGAATTAATGTGGGATTAATGAGGGACTCTGGGGATTAAGGGGGGTTAAGGAGCGTTAATAGGGATTATAAGGGATTATGATGGGATTATGGGGGATTTAGGGGGGATCATGGGGGACTAATAGGAATTATGGGAAATTAAGAGGGGATAAATAGTGATAATGGGGGATTAATGGGGATTAAGGAGGGATTATGGGGTTTATGGGCAATTAAGGAAGGATTATGGGGGATTAATAAGGGATTATGGGGGATTATGGGGCATTAATAGGGATTATGGGGATTAAAAGGCGATTAAGGAGGAATTAGGGAGGGTTAAGTAGGATTAAGGTAAATTATCGGAGATTAATAGGGATTATGGGGGATTCTGGAGGATTAAGGAAAGATTATAGGGGATTATTAGGGATTATTGGGAATTAAAGGGGATTATGGGGCATTAAAGGGCAATAATGAAGGAATTATGGAGGATTAAGAGTGATTATGGGGGATTATGGGAGATTAATACGAGTTATGGGGTACTAATGAGGAATTATGGGGGATTAATGAGGGGTAATAGGGGATTAATGAGGGATTATGAGGGATTAATGAGGGATTATGGGGATTAATAGGGATTATGGGGGATAAATGGGGATTATGGGGGATTAAAGAGGAACTATGGAGGATTAAGAGTGATTATGGGGGATTACGGGAGATTAATAGGAATTATGAGATATCTATGGGGCAACTATGGGGTGGTTATGGGGCGGCTATGGGGCAGCAGTGCGGTATCTATGGGGCAGCTATGGGGTATCTATGGGGCATCTATGGGGTGGCTATGGGGCAGCTATGGGGTGGCCATGGGGCATCTATGGGGCAGCAGTGGGGCATCTATGGGGAAGCTATGGGGCGGCTATGGGGTGGCTATGGGGCAGCAGTTGGGTAGCTATGGGACAGCCATGTGGCAGCTATGGGGCAGCAGTGAGGTATCTATGGGGCAGCTATATGGCGGCTATGGGGCAGCTGTGGGGAAGCTATGGGGCAGCAGTGGGGCGGCTATGGGGTGGTTATGGGGCAGCTGTGGGGCAGCTATGTGTCAGTTATGGGGTGTCTATGGGGCAGCCATGTAGCAGCTATAGGGCAGCAGTGAGGTCTCTATGGGGCGTCTATGGGGCAGCTATGGGGCAGCAGTGAGGTATCTATGGGGCAGCTATGGGGTGCTATGGGGTATCTATAGAGCAGCTATGGGGCGTCTATGGGGCAGCCGTGTGGCAGCTATGGATCAGCAGTGAGGTATCTATGGGGCAGCTATGGGGCGGCTATGGGGCAGCTACAGGGCAGCTACGGGGCAGCTACGGGGCAGCAGTGGGGCAGCAGTGGGGCCGTACCCTCCTGGCCTTGCCCTGCTGCTCCTGTGCCGCCCTGAGCTGCCGCCCCCCTTTGTGCACCGCCGTCCCCGACTGCAGGATGTGCAGCTCGATGCGATTGATGGCCTCACCCTGAAACCAGTACGGACCAGTACAGACCAGTATAGACCGGTACAAACCAGTACGGACCGGTACAAACCAGTACGGACCAGTATGGACCAGCACAAACCAGTATAGACTGGTACGGACCAGTACAAACCAGTACAGACCAGTATGGATGTGTAGAGACCAGTACGGACCAGTCTGCCCCAGTACAACCCTTTCCCTCCCAGTCCCCTCCCAGTCCCTCCCACTATATCCCAGTTCCCTCCCAGTATATCCCAGTCCCCACCAGTCCCTCCCAATCCATCCCACTCCCTGCCATCACATCCCAGTCCCATCCCAGTCCCCTCCCAGTCCATCCCATTCCATCCCAGTCCATCCCACTCCCTCCCATCACATCCCAGTCCTCTCCCAGTCCCTCCCATTATATCCCAGTCCCCTCCCA